TGGTCACAATGGTCCCACAGATGACACCGTTTATGTTTTGTATTCGGTCTCACTGGTCACACTGGTCACGTTGGTTCCACTGGTCACGTTTGTCCCACTGGTCACGTTGGTCCCATTGGTCACGTTGGTCACACTGGTCACGTTGGTCACACTGGATGAAGAAGAAGAAGAAGAAGAAGAAGGAGAACAACATGGAAGAAAAAAATAAATAAAAAAGGGGAAAAATGTGAAGAAAAAGGTTCTGAAAGAAGGTTGATGGAGGCGATTAAGGCCTCTGAATTGAGATCATAGATTCTGTGAAGCAGATGATGAGGAAAGCAGGATTTCCGGTGGATGAAGAACTTTTTGAGAATGTATATTCTCCACATTCACAAATACATTCTTCAAAGGGTGGTGAGGATGTGCATACTCCCCGTTCACAGAGACAGGGAGAAGGGGATGAAGATGTGGGTAGTAGAAGCTCATCAACGAGTGATTACTACGCCGGCAAGGATATGCCTTACCATTTTAAAGCTCATGCTGAGGCTGTGCGTAGTGAAGAAAGTGATGACGAGGGCGATGCGGTGTCTAGTACTCCTCCCAGAGCCCTAGAAGGGGGGGTTGCAAGTCCAAAGGTTCTTGAGGAAAATGTACAAGGAGAAAATGATGAAGGGATAGCTGGAAACCCTATGGAAGTGGACTTTGCTACCCAAGGCATCGAGTCAGCTGCTGCCCACGTCCCCGAGGACCCTAATGCCCAAACCACCGAGGACATTGCTGCCCACGTCCCGGAGGACATTGCTGCCCACGTCTCCGAGGACCCTACTGCCCAAGCCACCGAGGATCCTGCTGCATTTGCCCTCAAGGACCCTGAGAACCCTGATAACAATGTCTCTGAGGACAATGTACCCGAGAATCCTGATAACACTGTCCCTGAGGACAAGGTACCCGAGAATCCTGATAACATTATCCCTGAGGACAAGGTACCCGAGAATCCTACGGCATTTGCCCCCGAGGACCCTGCTAACATTGCCACTGAGGACCCTGCTGCAGTTGCCCCTGATAGCAAGGAAGCCCCTGAGGCGGCCCCCCT